GGGTCACATAGTATCAGCAGAGAATTCACTGAAAGTGACATCAAGACGTGTGAAAAAGGATTTCGCCTACATCTTCTTCATGTAGCTGAAGCTCCATCAATCACCTTATAAGGAAGTACTGAGAGTTTGTATTCAGAAATGTTTTATTCAGCCCCTTTTTCACTACCATTGCCTCAGTGTCAGTGTTTGTTTTCCTGAAAGATTGTTTAGTCATTTTTAAAAATATTTTTGCAACCGATTTTCGATCCTTCGTTCTCCCATTTTTTTTATTAAAGTGTTTCCAGATGATTATTCATTATTTAACAGATTAGTTGTCAACCCTACCGATTATGTGCGTCGGTGGCACAGTGGTTAGGACTCTCGCCGACCACGCACATGGTCCAGGGTTCGAGCCCGCATCGACGCACACCTGATATCTATGATCGGCCTGCAAAATTTGGGCTACCGATACCCATGCTGAAAATTCCATACTTGTACGGAAAATACAGTGTGGAATCAAGCTGTAAATCAAAAATCAAAAAAAAATGTAAGATTATTCCGTATCTTTCAGTTATTGTTATTTCTCATACACTTTAACTCATTTGGTTGCTAAGTGGCAGTGGCGTCTAATCCCTGTGGTAAATTAACATTGTTAGAGGATCATTAGAAATCCAGAGAGTATTGGACAGTTGGTTCGGCCTAGCTGGAGACACCTCAGTAATATACAGTAATTCTAGTGACAGTTTGTAACGAGTGGGATCCACCGAGTTGGGTGTAAAGAGAGAGTTAGCTGCTGTGAATTGCCAAGAGGTTTTTAATTTGTTGGCCAGCGGGTCAAGTCTCAATGTCTGAATGGTCTACGAACCACCCGCCTTGTTCAAGCTCCGGTGGGTGCATACTGCCTAAAGGTTCCAAACGAGAACGCACTTCCTGGTTTTCCAGTGGTTCCATAAGTAATAACAGCTCGTAATCAAATTAAATCTCTGAAAGCCAAAACGTGGTAATTATTTAATTGGACACTAGTAACTAGTGTGATGTGTCTAGTTTTCTCTTTGATGCAGACTGAATTCTATCAGTCAGGTTTTGTAATGTGGCCACAATGCCACTAGGTAGCTCGCCATCACGGTGCACATTGATCTGATTATATTAGGTAGTTGCAGGCGATCGGCCACAGGAAGCCTTGACTAGAACTAGGGTTCGTGCTAGTTGGCACTCACCAGCCAGTCAGCAAGGCGTACCTGCAACCATGAAGGGACTCCTGTTCCCTGTCTGAAATTCAAACCCGCAGCGTCACCCAGTCAAGGCTGCAGTCAGAGACATTACCACTGAGCTCTTCGGGTTGGCTCGCGATTGACCTCCTGTAGGACTGTAGTGGATAATTTGATATCGCGAGCCCGAATAGCTCAGTGGTAACGTCTCTGACTGCAGTACTCACTAGGTGACACCGCGGGCTCAAATCTTAGACAGGGAATATGAGTCCCTTCATGGTTGCAGATATGCCTTGCTGACTGGCTGGTGAGTGCCAGCTACTAGCACAAAACCGAGTTCTAGTCAAGGCTTCTTGTGGCCGATTACCTCCGACTATCTAATATCACGTGGTAATTAACTCTGTAAATGTATAACCTCCTAAATGATTGCTGACTTAAATGTTTCATAATGTGATCTGTTTATGTAACAATCTTGAAACAGTGATATATAGTGTCATGCGGTATCTGAAAACAGTATACCTATTGTCGTAATTTGATTCTATTCGTTCAAACAGAACTGTTCCGAAGTTTTATGTGATTTTTTTCTCATTTTGTGTAATTATTTTTTTTTTTTGATTTACGGCTTGATTCCACACTGTATTTTCGGTACAAGTATGGAATTTTCAGCATGGATATCGGTAGCCCAAATTTTGGAGGCCGACCATAAATATCAGGTGTGCGTCGGTGCGGGCTCGAACGTCTTAACTGGTTACATTCTCAGAAAGAAAGTAGTGCACCGTATATAAACGGAAGTATTCCACTTCATTGCCTACTGCAACTGGTGTCCCTCAAGGCGCTGCCCTTTCTCCTTTTCTTTTTTCTTTCTTCTTGCATAACTTGTCTCACTCTGATGAAATTAACTTTGTAAAGTACGCTGATGGTTTAGCAGTTTTAATGGCTGTTAACTCCCAGCTAGACTGTACCAAAATAAATAGCTTTCTGTCGGGAGTCAGCAAATGGTCTGAGTCTAACGGTCTTAAACTGAATCCTTCTAAATGTCAAACTGTTAATTTCAGCTTGAGATGCAAAAGATAGTTAAAAGAAGTCATCAACTCTCATGACAGTTGTAAGTAAGATTGACGACAATGATATAGGAATAAAATCAGTAATTAAATATCTTGGACTTGTTCTCTCTTCTGATCTCTCCTGGACTTCCCATTTCTTAGCAATCTCCAGTAAAATATTCCGCCTGACATTTTACATTAAGAAGTTAAGACACTCGGGTATAAGTCAACCCCTCCTCCTCTTACAGTTCATAAACTCTTGCTTTCATCCTACGTATTCTTCTTTATTGTTCACCCTAGTTTATTCTTTCCTGGTTTGCTGCTTAAAAAAGACTATGTCACAATTCGTAGGATGCTGAAGACTGTCAGTAGGGTGAGTGGTGTCCCAGTGGACCACATAGTTAACGTCGTTGTCGATAGACACTTGACTTCGTGCAATAAATTTGGTAAAGGGATTTTGTCTGACTTTGAGCATCCACTTTACTTACCCTCAGCTTTCACCTTGCATCTCCTCAGGTAGAACAAGGAGTAACTTCAGAAAACTGTATGCTCGCACGTCTAAGTATAAGAAGTCTATGATACCATACTTGGCATGTATTTTATGTGATGAAAATAGTGTCAGGCAAGAATTAACTAACCTTTTTCCATCTCGTAAATAAACAATTTCCTCCATCCATCCATCCTTATATACCTTCAAGTTTTACTTTTATTATTTCTATTATATTTATGGTCCTGTTGCTTCTTTGTTTTACTCTCATAATTGCAGACACCAACTTATCCCTATGACTGCTGTAATCTTTGTTTTTCCCCTCACCATCATCATCATGTAAAGAGAACATTATATTCAATATTTTTAAACATGTTAGGATTTCTATACCACGTCAACAATACTGTGTGACACAAGCCCACGGCAATTTTCACTATTATTATTATTATTACTACCTTAGCTGTTATCATTATTGTTATTATTACCACATTATATGCTGCATGTTTGTTTTGACATTACCCCTATTGTAAATGTTGAAAATTTCCGGTGTGATTAATTTTTATTTATAATTTGAGGAAATTAGACGCAATATTGTGATTAAATGCTGAAAATTCCATTATGTATCACAAGTACTGTTTTTGGAATAAAGTAAATCATTATTATTACTATTATTATTAGAGTTCAGTTTTATGTGTGTTTAGATTTCATAAACAATTTTGTTTCCTGAGCATTGTCATCTCTGAGTGAAAAGACATTTTTCTTTTAGCATTAGGCTGGATAACTTCACCAGTTACACGAAAATTAAAGAAGGAATATTTACTGACCCTATTAGTTTGTTTATTAGATGTTTCACACAGTGAAACACACACACACTGTGAATGTGTCATCTACATACCTCAACCATACTTTTCGGGTGGGGCAGAACGTTTCATTCGCTAAGTGTTCCCACCTATTCATGAATATATCTGCTACAACCGGGGATATTGATGATCCCATGGTAACTCCCTCAGTTTATTTGTATATTTTCCCTTGGAATTTAATTACTGTGAAAGTCAGGCACAGTTGCACCCTAAACATTCACTGTACTTAGAACACAGAATATTGATAGATTTTTCGAACACACTAACTCAAAGGTGGAGGCAATTCAATTCACTTATGAATTGGAAAGTCAGGAAGAGAAACTGCCAATGTTAGATTGTAGCGTAAAAAGAAAAGAAGATCAGAAGTTTAACACATATTCAAACAGATATTTGAACTTCTGATCATCCCATTCTGTGTCATTGTTTAAATAACAGAGCACAAAATCTAAGTAGTACCAAGGAAAATCTAAGACAGCAAGTGAGGCATATAAGAGAAGCCTTGAAACTTAATTAATAATTACCCTGATAAATTAGTCAGAAGGTATTAGGCAAATGTACAAATAAAATAATTAATAATAGTAATGATAGTGGTAATAATAATAGTAATATTAGTGACGACATACATGTCAAACATGCTCAGGATAATGACAACACCAACAATAAGGAATCTAAATCATCAATGGTAATTCCATACAAAGAAGGAAGCTCGGAAACCACCTTACGCAGAATTCTTAACAAGGGAGGAATAAAAGTGCATTCAAACCCACAAACTCAATTAGAGATAAGCTTTGTGGGTTAAAAGATCAATCCTGTGGGGCTTTTAAAACAAAACAACTTAGTTTATCTAATACATTGCCTGCAATGATTGTCAGGTCAAATACATAAGTCAAACTAGTAGAACAGGTGCAGTCAGACTAGCTGAGCATAGAAACCTAGCAGCGAAATGTAGATTAGTTGACCCGAATAAGATAAGCAGCCTGGAGAATAGTTCACCTATAGCACTCACCACATGCAGTTACACACAACCATACAATAGGATGGGATGGGATAAGATGACAGTTTCAAAATCTAATGTCACAGGATTGATAACAGAAGCATCATTCATGGAATGAACCGAAGAAAATATGTGTAACAGGAATGATTCAACACCTGTCCATCCAAACAGCTGGAAAATTCTACTACCCCAAAGACAACAAATAGCAGGGAAAAAGAAAACTATAAAACTCAAGTTTCGAAGTCGTGTGAATATAATTGATATGATTACGAGCAATAAATTTTGTTCCAAACTTTGTCATCCAGTAAATAATACTGTTTCACTCACTGTGTGATGCATCTATCTAATAAACAAACTAATATGGGATTACTTACTACCAGAGTGCCCATGCTTTACACATATACACATATTATGCAATCTTCTACTTACTAGTATCTAATGTCATCATAAAACGCAGTGTTTCTCTTCGATAGAACAGTATCCCTTGAGCTATAGCATATGGTCCAGCACCGACAACACCACTGGCCAGTGCTACATAGGCTGCATCATGTTCTGTACGACAGAATTGACGTCGAATGCGTCGAACACGTTGAATTCCTGCATCCAACTGTCTCATTCTTGAAGGATTACCTGTAGAAATAAAAGTGGTAATTCAATGTTTAGTAGACGGAATGTTTATGAAACTGATAAGTAAATAAATAAAATAACCATTCCAAATGGACTATAGGGCTTCATATTCAAGTCTTGATTTTTCAACGACTCTAGTGCTTCTTTTACTTGGTGAGGTTGTTAGTCTCACGCCAAACCTTTCCTCTTTATGGAGTTTATTACTGACTAAGCAAAGTTTGGGGGTAAGTCGATAAGGGATGGAACCCTGATTTTACGGGTGGTTGGAGAATAGTCTGCCACAGAACCACTGACGTACGGTGGTGATAGAAAGACAATTAGCTTCCCCTAGAAGTAATGAAAACGTTAAGACAAGAAAGAAAGATCAGCCGTGCAACCTGGATTCGATTCACTGTTGTTTCTTATCCCTTTCTACATCAGTTAGCTAATATCACAGTATGAGGGAAAACTTGACAGTTACTAATTCATTTTAGTAAAAGTTGTTTAGTAGTCTACTTGCTTAACTCAACTAGACTGTACTAAGATGAACAGCTTTCTATCAGGAGTCAGCAAATGGTCTTCGTCTAACGGCCTTAAATTAAATCCTTCTAAATGTCAGACTGTTAATTTCAGTTTCCGATGTAAACGAAAGTTAAATGAAGCTGTTGGTTCCTATGACCGTTGCAAAATTGATGATACTGATATAGAAATCAAGTGTGAAGTTAAGTATTATTCCATTATAGATAAGATTTTTTTTTGATAAATTGCACAGTGTTTACAGTTATATGAACTGATGACGTTTCGAGCACAAACTATTGCTCATAATCATATCAGTTCATATAACTGTAAACACTGTGCGATTTATCAAAATAAAAATCTTATCTATAATGGAATTATACTCTACCACAGTGCCCAAGTTTTATACTTATATGAAGTTAAGTATCTTGGATTAAATCTTTCTTCTGACCTATTCTGATCTTCCTATGTCTTAGCGATTTTTAAAAGAATATTTCGCCTAACTTTTGCATTAAGAAGTTAAGGCACTCAGGCATAACCCAAACCCTCCTCTTACAGTTTGTCAGCTAGTGTATTTTACATATTCTTCTTTGCTGTTCACCCTTATTCTTTCCTGGATTGCTTAACAAAGACTATGTCATGTACTTCGTAGAACTCTGAAGACTGTCAGTAGGACGAGTGGTGGTATCCCATTGGGCCATATCGTTGACATTGTCATTGATAGGCACTTGATTTCATACAACAAATTTGCTAAAGGAATCTTGTCAGACTGTGAGAATCCACCGCAGCACCTGCAGCTCCAACCGTATGTCTCCTCAGGTAAAACAAGAAGTCTTTTAAGAAGATTTTATGTGCGCACATGTCTAAGTATAAAAATTCCACTATACCATATTCGGCCGCACGTACTTATGTGATGAAAATAGTGTTAGGCATGAACTAACTAACTAACCTTCTTTGCACTAGTAAATAAACCATTTCCTCCATCCTTACAACATCAAACTTGTTATTGTTCTTCTTACATTTATAATCCTCTCAGTTTTTTGTTTTTATTTGTTTATTTTTTCATAAGTGTGAACATCATTTAAGCTGTGTTAATAACTGTTAATTTTTGTATTTCCCATCACCATGCTGCTATATCAGGAGAACATTAGATTCAATACTCTCTAATAACATGCTAAAATTTCCAAACTGAATCGACAATACTGTTTGAAACAAACTCACTATTACTATCATTATTATATTTATTATTATCAATTCGTACTTCGAATATTTTTGACTTTATATCGTAAACCTGGACAAATTCCTCTGGTTAATTTTACTTTTAATTTTATTTATATTTTGCGTAAAACAGATGCAAGATATTGTGACAAATGCTGAGAATTCCATTCTGTATTATAAGTACTGTTTTTGCAATAAAGTAGATTATTATTATTAATAAAGTCTTATGTAACCATGGTTTCATTACCTTTAAATAGATACGCCTTATTCACGGGTATTCTATCGGCGGACGATACTCATACAAAGGTAAAACAGCGGATGTGTTTATTATATGACTCAATTCAATAGACTTTTGGATAAAGAGGGTCTAATTTAGAGTGTTAGAAAATCTTAATTTTATGGCAGTGAGGCACATGGATTAAAATGTCTTAAAGGAACAAATGCAAGATAAAATTAATTCACTTTCTCGTAACCATGGGACAGAAGCAACTGAGTGTTTCCACACTGCTTTTGGATTGAACTGAAATGAATAATGACTAATACTCGCTGCACAAAATAGGGCTCTCATGGCCTAATTGGTCTGGTGAATAACGCTATGGCGTCTGAAACGATAGGCACGGTGTTCGAATTTTAGTGGGGAGAACAGCATCATATACTCACTGAGGAATGCAGGCACATCAAGATGACGGGCCCCAGACGGGACGAAATGAGCGTTATCCTGGATTCAACTGTTAGTTATCATCTATCACTTGTCACTGTTCCGAAGTGTGTTCTGTCTGTGCTTTTTTCAATTATCAAATAATCACTTTCAGAAATCTGTCTTCTGTCAATAAACTTGCTTCCTATATCATTTATAATTCGATATAACTTGGAGAAGAGTTAGTCTGTAAAGCATCTTTATGGATGTCTGATATATATTAGATGGTTGGAGGCAATCGGCCACAGGAAGTCTTCACTAGAACTAGGTTTCGTGCTAGTTGGCACTCACCAGCCGCCAGTCAGCAAGGCGTATCTGCAGCCTTGAAGGAACTCATGTCCCTCCCTCCTGAGATTAGTTACTAGTGTCCAATCAAAATACCCACTACAGTCCTACAGAAGGTCAACCGCCAGCTCGAATAGCTCAGTGGTAACGTCTCTGACTGACTGCAGCCTTCACCGGATGACGCGGGTCCGAATCTCAGAAGGGACATGAGTTCCTTGAAGCTTCCAAATACTCCTTGCTGACTGGCTGGTGAGTGACAACTAGCACGAAACCTAGTTCCAATGAAGGCTTCCTGTGGCTGATTGCCTGCAACCATCTAATATCATCAAATCAATGTGCACCATGATGTCCAGCTACCTAGAATGGTGGCCACATTGCAAACCTGACTGATAAAATTCAGTTTGCACCAAAGAAAGGACTAGACACACGTCACACTAATTACTAGTGTCCAATCAAAATGTCTAATATATCTCAGATACTGGCATACGAGTGCTTTGGATAGGCATTTTATCTTTCAACCCCTGATGCGAATTCCATTTGAGTTTGCCCAGGGGCTTTGTGTCATCATAGTTCAGCTTAGCTAGCATCTTAGCTGGTACACTAAGCACTAAAACGAATGCCGACTGAATTTTTATTTGCAATCATTCGAGTGTTCTTAAACTAGAACGTTCAATCTTTGTGAGAATTAACTAGTGATTTCTGTTCACTCTTCAGTACCTTGCAGTCAGAATTTAGTCAGATATACGTTTTCACACCAAATAAGGAATCTTTCCATTTCTCTGCTTTAGCAAGGGACTTAAGCTGATAAATGGGTTGTCTAAGCTGAATGGATAGTGGTTGCAGCTCTTTGCGAAATACATTATAATATAGGCATACATAGAATGAGCCATCACCACTATTCAAAACAGCTTCGTTCCCGTCAACTACAAAAAATAATAATAATATTAACAGCTTTCTTCCAAACAGTATTTGTGGTACAGGTATGGAATTTTCAGCTCGCATTACAACATATTGCATCTAAATACCTCATAAATCTTATAAGATTTTTGAAATAAAAAATAAATAAATAAAAAATAAAAAATAAAATTTTTAAAAAAAAGCGTAGAGTATTTCATTTCAAACAATGCACAACAGGATATGAAATATAAAGTTGATGTGTGGTAGAAGATGAGGACAAGAGTGTAATAGTAACGAGGAAAGGAAAACAAAAACTAATGAGACTATTTGTTAGAGTGCCGCAGTAAGTTTATCGTGTCATACCTAACGGATTTCTCATCACCACACAACAGCTGTGCCAGATATGGTATTGTGGAGTTTTTGTACTTGGTGGTAGTCCTAGCATATAGCCAGCCTCCTATAGCTGCTTCTAGTTCTACCAGATGAAATGCAAGGAGACAGCTGCGTATAGAGAGGATGCTCGGGGTCTGACAATATTGTATTCGCTAGTTTCTTACATGACATTATATGTTCATCCACAATAGTGTTAACCAGTTGGTTTAACGATATCCCACTCGCCCCACTAACGGCTTTTAGTGCCTGCCCTTCTCAGCGAAGCAAAGTCTTTCTTAAGTAGTCCAGGAAAGATTAATGGGGAGCAGTAAAGGGGGATGGGTAGAATACAAGAATTTACAAACCGAGAAAGCAAAGACTGCTTTATGCCAGACTGCCTAAATTTCCTAATGTAGAACGTTAAGCGAAACATCTTTCTAGTAACTAGCAAGATGTGGGAGGACCAGGAAAGATCGGTGGAAAAACTCAGCCCAAGATACTTGAAATTAAATGTATTTTCAACCTCTGTGCCGTCAATGATAGTGGGGCTATGTGAGCTAACTAGTTGCTGTAGGTCACATTTACGTCTGAAAGTGAAATTGACAACCTGACATTTAGACGGATTAAGCTTAAGTCCGTTTGAAGAGGACCACTGACTAATTTCCAACAGACAGTTATTTAATTTGGAACAATCTGACTGAGAGTTGACTGGCATAGAAACAGAGAGGTCATCGGCATATTTAGCAAAAGTGGCTACATCAGAATGAGGCAAGTCATGTAAGAAAAAAGAAAACAGAAAGGGAGAAAGAACAGCACCTTGAGGAACACCACTTATTTGTCCAGCTCTCAGCCTGTGTTGCAGCAAGCTTACTTAGCAAGAGAGACCTGGGAACAGAGTCAAATGCAGATGTGTAGACAAGGAAGGTACGGAGAATGTATTTAGCTCCTTTATCTAGACTAGAGACTATGCTATGGTGTAGGACAACAGCGACATCTAAGGTACACCTACTATTTTTATAGGCAAACTGTTTGGGGTCATTGAAAGGCTTTAAAGAGGGTTCAAGCTTAAGTAAAATAAGTCTTTCCATAACTTTCAAAAAAGGTGAAGTAATAGCAATGGGTGTGAACTTAACATTAGGTCCACTTGTTGATTTAGGCACTGGAACAATCCTGATATTTTTCCATGATTCGGGTATAATACTTTTGGAAAACGATTCGTTGAAAATGTCATTTAATGGGGAACACAAGATGTCGGCACACTTCTTAAGGATAACAGCAAGAACACCATTAGGACCAAGGGACTGAGTAGGTTTGAGAGAATGAAGACACTTGAGGACATCATTCGTGTTAAAGCATGAGAAGCAGTCATTATTTACACTATTTAAGTTATGAATCATAACATTTGCTGGGATACATATGAGAGATTCATTAAGCATGCTAACATCTACAGAAATGTCATTCATCATTTGCTTACCACCTGTGATTTCCTTTTAGTAAAGACCCTCAGCCACACAGAAATAATTGGAGATGAATTAGGCATTGTATATGATAATTTGATCGAAAATATCTACCTATCCCGGCAAATTTATCAAGAAATACATGACAACGTAAGCAGAAGAGGACTACTCACTGTCTGTAAGCATGAAGCCTTTCTACATACGACTGCAATTCAAGGGTGTTATACCGAGTGAAATAATTGGGAAGAAATTAAGAAAATCACTTCTAAGAACTTTTAATGCTGGCGAACTACACGTATTATTCTCTACACGACAGATGGTGGTGCTACCTCGACTGAAAGATGAAGTACCTAGACCAGTTAGCCACTTCCGATTGTGTCTACCAATTCATATGCGCTTGTGTTGGACCGAGTTATATCGACCGTTGCTCTAGGAACTTGATTTTTTTGTGCTCACTCGAGAACATCTCTCAGTATTGCTAAGTAAAGGTGTAGTGAAAACCATCTCATCCAAACCGGCCACAAAGCCAATATGAAGAATCCCTATCCACCATCTACGGGGTGACAAATAAATTGCCAAAATCATCTAAGTACCGCATGCTCCAAACATCAGAGGCTATCACAATCCGCGTGAAACAACCAGTGCTCTGTGTGCAAAAGAAGTAAGTCCAACCAGCCACTACTACTTCTCTGACTGGCCTTCAGCAAAGACTATAAATTCATGAATTTGTAATATTAATTTCTTGATTTGCCTGTCCGACATTCAGTTTATTGTTATGTTGATGCTACTGAGGTGTAATCCATTGATATTATTATTGATTCGATGTTATTTAAGCAACATTAATGTTGTTAATAACACTAATTCACTCACTTCTATAGATGGATATATAACTGTAGAGCTTGATGAAGAGCAGGTTATCGAAAATGGGAATGTTATTTGTTCAGTACCCATTCTTTTGTAAATAGATGGCATAACCGGTCATTTTTGACCAGTACCACCACTCATCACTATAACACATCCATGTGTTGTAGTTTAGAAACCAAAAGACAAGTACATAAACAGTCAACTCTAAGAGCATTCTTGATTTCCTAGTGGAACTACGGGGTTCAACCTTCGATGTTTCAGTAGCAGTGGTGCAGTCCTCACAGAGTGGAAATGTCAGTGGCTCACCCAACCTTTCACTTTTTCCGGGATTAATTAAAAGCTAACTAAGGTTTAAGAAGTCATCAGGCAGAAGCCGAAACCAGACCTTCCACGTAACTAGCGCCTATTCTACCATTAAACCGTCATTAAATGAATAAAATTTATTTATTTATTTACTTGATATATCCGTTGTTTTCTTTTGTTGTGATAATTGATTATTTGTAATTGGTACACTGAGTAATGATCCACTCGGGAGATTTGATGGCTGCTGAACTTCTTTAACTAAGGCGATTGTCTCAGACATGTATTGTTTTTCTAGACTAATCATACGTTTTATTGCAACTATCGATTCAATATATCTAAAAGAAAATACAAATTCAGAAACACATCAACATATTTACAAAGAAGTGTACATTAAGAATTGAACATTTAACGTATCCTTTTGTTTAAAAAAATGATGTTGAAATAGCGGGAATTTTAATTTCAAATTTGTGACTTTATACAGATTTAAGATAAACTATTTCGTTGTGATTAAGTGTCGAAAAGTTTCAAATTATTAACTCTCATTTTTATCAAACTATAAGATAATTCTAGGATTAGTAAAACTATGAGGGCGTGTATCCAGAAATGTTCCCTCTTGCAGTGACAGCCGATGTCTTCAGATGAAGAAATTCTCATTGGCAACATCGGGTAGAGTTAGGGATTTAAACAGCTTCAGGTTGTTATGTACTTCTCTATCCTTGATTTTGTGTTTATCTACCTTCTTGACCGGATCCCTTTGGGAGCTCCATTAGACTAAATTATTTAAGGATTTCATCATGAGCTGACATTAGTTAGAGAACCATTGGAAAACCACCTGAGAGTACTGGACAACTGTTTCGCCAGTCTAGTTTGGGACTCTTCATCAGTACGCACCCACCGGGATTCGAACCCAGGACCTTCCGGTTACAAGGCGAGCTCGTATACCATTAAGCTATTGAGACCCAATCCAATGGCCAGTCTATGAATTCTAACTTCTGCCATTTCACGACATAGCGCGACCGCTAGCCAATGTCTTCGGCGAGCTCGCCTTGTAACCGGGAGGTCCTGGGTTCGAATCCCCGTGGGTGCGTACTGCTGAAGAGCCCGAAACTAGGATGAAACAGCTGTCCAGTACTCCAGTGCAGGTTTTCCGATGGTCCTCTAGCCAATGTCAGCTCATGATGAAATCCTGAAACCAATCAAATCCCTACAAACCAACACTTAAATTATTTAAATTCTCACATAGGTGTACTGTTGATTTTACACCTCTGTTCAATTTACAACGTTTGTTTGTACTTCTGGAATATTCTTCGATTATTTCTATACATACTAACAAGATTAACAAAGACTTTTATTCCTTTCCGTCAGTTCTCTATCTCAACTTCATTGACCTTGAAAAGGCCTTCGATAACCCAATCGAGAAGTGTTTTGGAACCTACTTCGCTACTACGGGGTGCCACCAACAATCATACATCTCATCCAACGGTTGTAAAACAATGCTTCATACCAAATAATCCACAACGGGAAACTCATAGAATCCTTTGAAGAAGAGAAGACAGAAGTGAGACAAGGCTGGCTGCCTACTATCTCCAATGATTTTCCTGATCGGATAGCGTAACAGAGAGCGGGCAAAGAGGTGACAGACATAAAATGGACCCACATAAAAAACTTGGAGGATCTAGATGTCACTGACGATATATATGTCTGATTGCACACAAACTGTAATATATGCATGTGATGAAAAACATCAAGTCGGCGATAGAAGAAGCATCAGAGATAGGACTTCAGGTGAACATAGAGAAGGAGGAAACGGAGGTGATGAAGATTCCTGGCCAACAGTAAACAGCAACAACAACAGACAACAATCAGACAGCATAAATGGGAGGAATCTGAAAGAAGCAACTTTCTTCACTTACCTGTCTACCTAACTACTTGGGAAGCATCGTTTCAACTTCATGCGCAGGGAACTGATGAGAATATCAAGCAGTGAGGATCGGGAAAGCAAGACAAGCTTTGATTACTCTGAAGTCTGTGTGGAGATCAACACTCAGCACTCAGCATGAAAAATAAGATCCGGATTTTCAACTCCAATGTGAAGTCAGTCAGTGCTACTTACTATACGAATCAGAGACTTGGCGCTGCGTCACGAAGACCATTTCAAACAAACTATAGACTTTCAAATCGCGGAATATACACATTGGGTCATAGGAGATATTAAGAAGACAATTGCAGAGAAGAAAATTTTCTTTTCGACGAATTCACAGTCAACTAGGCTGTACATTCGTGTATTTATATCAAATGGATGAGAAAGTTCCAAAATAACTCCCGGTCAAGGGTCAAATAAATTAAAATTACAATTAGGAATTAGAATGCCATAATAAACAGGGGTACGGATAAAACAAACAAAGTAGCATCATAATAACTAAGAAGATTGACATTGTGCAATTGCGGGTTAGACATTTAGAAATAACAAGATAGACAGGATGTTTGGATTAAAAAACTGTGATGAATACTTGTTTATGCAATCAGGGATTAAGTATGTAGAAATAGTAAAATGAAAAAAATAAACACTAAGTTCGGGTATGAAAATATGGTACTGTAAACAGGGATTAAGAAAAACTTAAAATAACATGAATAAACAGGAAGTTTAGATAAGAAAGGAGATGGGATGGTCATTACGAAAAATTGCCTGTTTATGATGGCCATGGCAGGGACAGGGGTTGGACGTATTTCTTTTGGATACAAAGCGAGGGTTTGAGCTTTTGTATAGCCAGCGCTTCGGCCATGCCCAGATATCTTGATTTTACTCCCTTTGATAGGTTTGATTGAATCTTGTATATTACTTTGAAGGATTTTTTGAAAGGTGCTGAATGTCCTGAATTGACCAGATGTTCTGTCACTGAACTGTATACACGCTTTTGGTCTCCTCTTACTAGCCAGGCTGGGTAGTGTTCACAAGTGTATTTTTCGAGTCGGCGCATGGTACGACCAACGTACTCAGCTCCACAAGAGCAAGTAAACTGGTATATGTACGTTGAGGGGACCCAATGCGATAGCTTGTCTTTCGTGTTCTGGCTGAACAGTTTCTTGCAGGAAAACGTCAGTTGTAGGCTCGCGGCGAAGTATGTTATCCTTAGCGATTTGGAGAGGCGTTTAAGAAGGATTTCTGCTTCAATATCACCTTTGAATTATAGATTAAGCAGAAGTATTTTCTTTGGAACGGATTGGACTTGTTCGGAAGTCTTCTTAGATTTGAGATTCTTGTCTATGAACCTGGGCGGGAAACCGTTTTCTATCAGGGTTTTTCGAAGATTATGCAGTTCTTCTTCAACCACTTCCTCACTGCATATCTTCCGAATCGTCAAGGAAAGAGCGTATATCAGGTTCCTCTTTCTACTCAGGGGTACAAAGCTATAAAAAGTTGATGAAAGGTCCATGACATGTAGGCTTTTTGTATATGGACTTTTTCAGAGAGTCGTCGGAGTTTCTTGTCAGATGGATGTCGAGGAAGTGGAACATTCCGTCGGATTCAGTCTTAAGTGTAAAGTCGATGTACGCGTGGGCATTATTGAAGATTTGAAGTAGGTTTTTTAAATCACAGTTCTCATCACAAATAATGAAAGTATCATCGATGTATCTCTTGCAGAGATGGAGGTCGTTGATAGTCGGTGATAAGGCGTTGTTCTCTAAGCTAGCCATAAAGCAGTCGGCTAGGAGGGGTCCTACGGGAGAACCCATTACTTCTCTATCCACTTGCCTGTATATTTCCTTTTTGAAACTAAAGTATACGTTGAAGGTGCATCGAAGTAACAGTTCTTTCAGGTAATTGATCGGTATACCGACATCGATGCTATTGGATTGAATGTAATCACAGAAGAAACATACGGTTTCTGTCAGTGGAACGTTGGTGAAGAGAGACACGACATCCAGGGAGACCATTTTCTTTTCTCCTACATTGAAATTCTTAATTGAATCAACAAAGCCGAATGTGTCACGGAGGTTGTGTCTTGACAGCTTCTCTTTCATAGACTTTCATCAACAGCTAGCTGTATTCGCTCAATACTACTCAAGATCAGATGGCTGGTCAGACAAGATTAGCAACAGGGATGGATCTCTGGCAATGTACCAACCAACCAACCCAACAGGAACCAAGGAAGAAATGGAGGTGGATTGGCGATCATACTCCGAGAAAACAAACCATTAAATGAGTGACATCACACGCCAGACTACTGCTCGAGTGGAATCCGAATTGGAAACGGTGAGTTGGTTGTCAGTGCGAGGGTGACATGGAGGAAGAGGACTGGGTGATGTGAATAGGAGATGAAAGCATGTGGACAGACATGGAGCCATGTAAAAACATTGGCGGATAAGCGAATGCAATGGAGACGTGAGGCTGAAGCCCTGTGTTTCTCTAGAACCTAAAGGAAACAATAATAATGCTGTTTAATCACGTGATATTGATATCCTTTATTTTTATTATCAATATAAATAAAATATTTTTGTATTTTGTATATAGTAATTAATATTCCATCGGGTTCTGAGTGGAACTTGGGGCTTCAACAAAACATCTTCGTTTCATTCTGTTCTCTGCAGTCCAAAAGCTCTCATTTCCTTCTTCTCCTCCTCACAGGATTTTCTGCATGTCACCCTCAAAGTGAGGCTCAACTGGTCGATTCCCATTCAGGTGCCACTCAAGGGTTGGCTTGGCGTGTGGTGGTGTTTAACCAGAAGTCTCCTTAGTGTGTTACTGAACCATCTTGATTGGTTCGCTCCCAGAGCATCCTGTTGCCAGTTCTTTTTAGATGGTTAAGTCCTCTGCACTATGGAGCCGGCCAAGGAAGCAGTAAACAAAAGTTTGTATCTGGCGGCTGGGAATGCTTTTCATGACACTCCCACCAAGTCTCTAACCCGTATATAGAATAACTGACTTATTACTGATGTTGAAGAATCTGAATTATGCTCTTCACTCTGAGAATGGAAGATTTCTAAACTGATATCAGAGTGCTGAAGTTCTTTCCTGCTTCTCCGAACCCAGTTTTGGCATCCTCATCCGTACAACTTTTACTTGAAACGATGCTTCCTAGATAAGTGAGGAAGTAACTTTATTGAAATGTTTCCTCTTGATACTGATGGGTGCTTGTTGTTGTTGTTGGTGGTGGTTGGTTGGTTATTTTCATCACCTAGCTCCGTCTTCTCACATGTTCACTTGAAATCCTGTCATCTCTGTCTACCTCTTCTGCCAGCTTGTTGGTTTTTGCTTCAAAATCTTTGAGTTTAAGTGACATGACGTAACAACAGAAGACAATGGCCAGGAAACAGATCGTTTATTCAGGAAATC